CATATAGACATGTCTCTCCTCTCGTTTGTGTGTGTGTGTGTATACATGAGGGCGCTCATTTAGGCATGTCTCTCCTCTCGTTTGTGTGCGTGTGTGTGTGTATACATGCGGGCGCGCGTATAGACATATCTCTCCTTTCGTTTGTGTGCGTGTGTCTGTACATGCGGGCGCGCGTATAGACATGTCTCTCGTTTGTGTGCGCGTGTGTGTGTGTACATGCGGGCGCGCGTATAGACATGTCTCTCCTCTCGTTTGTGTGTGTGTGTATACATGAGGGCACGCATATAGGCATATCTCTCCTCTCGTTTGTGTGTGTGTACATGCGGGCGCGCGTATAGACATGTCTCTCCTCTCGTTTGTGTGTGTGTACATGCAGTCGCGCATATAGACATGTCTCTCCTCTCGTTTGTGTGTGTGTGTGTATACATGAGGGCGCGCATTTAGGCATGTCTCTCCTCTCGTTTGTGTGCGTGTGTGTGTGTATACATGCGGGCGCGCGTATAGACATATCTCTCCTTTCGTTTGTGTGCGTGTGTCTGTACATGCGGGCGCGCGTATAGACATGTCTCCTCTCGTTTGTGCGCGTTGTGCTTGTAGACTTCCCTCCACTAACTAGTTTTTGTGCGCGTAGGCATGTTTCTCGATCAATGAGGATTCAACTTAACAAACACACAGAAAAATGTGCACTTTGCACCCATCCACGTGACTGCACTTGGCACACACCTACATGACTGTACTAGGAACGCCCCAGCCATCAACGTGACTGTACTAGGCACAATCAGCTGAAGGAAGTCAGCGTGAACATCAGTAACGTCCAAACACTATATGGGTAGAGCTAGCGATTCAGCAACTTATTCAATGGCCACAATTTTGAAAATAAGAGTTCCTCACGGAGCAAAGGCCTGAACCCCAACGTAGAAGGTTCATCGATACAACTGGCATAGATCCTCGGGCCACTTGTTGGACCACAGCGGGCCAGATTTGGCCCGCAAGCCGCCAGTTAAATATGAATAGCCCAGCTACATGCCGTATACATTAACTGTGATTCCCGTTGCTGTAGAACTCAAGGGTTCTTATACCGTTTGACGAAATAGAAACAAGTGTTGATATAGTTCCATGGTGACTGTGTGACACTTTTTTCTTCTCTAGCGGTGTGTGTAAGGCTTATGCTGTGAATGTCTACTAGTACTAATTCTCTAGCCTGGTATTGCCTTTTAGCGCCAGGTTTTGAAGAGGTATCGGCTGAGAATAATCAACTCAGTTTACTTAAGGGCCAGTGTTGACACTGGGGATCGTCACTGACCACTGGCCAGATCTTCATCAAAGAAAGATCATTACCACATTGCAGATGACAGTAATCCACGAGTCACTTGCTAGGCCTCTATAATTTTGACTGACATCTTTTAGGATAAGCTCACGTTCAGTGGAAAAGTGGCTGGTTGTTCCTCTGGCTTTCTTCCGTTGAAGTGCGTCACTGTTGTCACCTGCTTGAGCAGTCGCGGCTGAACTGTGCACTTTGAATGACTACTGTAATTACAGCAGTTCTGCGTTCACTGCAATCACTGAAACATTCAAATACTGTCAATAAAGTAATATTGAATCGTATTACATATTACCTTACGGCACTTTATTTTTAATTCACCCAAAACAAAGGAAATCACCGAGTTCCGGGGGAAGTCCAATGTTCTAGGGGTGTCATAGGTTAGGTTTAGTCGGTGTCTCTGAGGCGGTCGGGGCTGACAGATCCTAACCCGAACCTATAACACCGCTAGAATATGGGACCTTCCCGGAAACTCCGGGATTAATTTTGTTTATGGATGAATTAAAGAAGTATCTCATCCTCCCCCCCCCCCCCACACACACACCACCACCACGATCGGAAGTCAAAAAGTAAGTCACAAATTGTTATGGGATGGCAGAAAAATGTAGTTGATGGTTTTTTTAGTGTCGTTAGGTGACAGCAACATCGAACTTTGTCTCCTTTCTTTAGGTGGCGCTAGGTGTTGCATGCGCATTCGCAACACGGAAACAAAATGGCGACTGTACTTACGAAGTGTACCCTCAATGAACAACATTTTTTGCGTTTGGGGGGGGGGGGGGCCCTGCCTGCAAAGGGCATTCAAAAACTTGAGAAGGTGCATAACGAAGCAATGCGCATTATTCTGGGTTGCACCAGAGACACCTCATGTGTAGCAGTAAGGCACTTTCTTGACTTCCCTACCATAAATTACAGGATCTAGACCTGGAGGGCTCGTGCATATCTTAAGATAAGCTCAGATTTGAAGCACCCTTTGCACCACATGCTCTTCGGGAAAAGGGGCAAATCATGGCCGGGTAGGGGAGAGGATGACATTATGCAGGTCTGCAGCCTTATAGATATCAAACTAGGTGAAGAATAGATACCAGCGTCTAAAGCGCTCAATTTCACATTGTCCTGTGTTGTGACGCTTGATAGGAGCTGTCGGGAGCAGAATCCCGCTGCTGCCAACGCCGAGGTATGCGCGCTTCATTGACAAGGTAGACGTGGTGGTCTTCACAGACGGATCCGTTATACGAGGACATAAGAGTGCATGCGCATTTACAGCTCGCTCTTCAGGCAGAACAGTTCAAGAAGCCAGCGGTAACCTTTTCCACTACTGGTAGCACGACGATGGAGGTGAGGTGATGGCGGTGACACAAGCTTTCACGTGGCTAGAATCACAGGACTATTCCCCCGTGTGTGTGCTAGGTGATTCTTTAGACATGCTCCGGTGGGTCGAGGCAGGCTGGTTACACAGACAGTGGATTGAGTCATTGCAAAATTCGCCTTTGTGTGCAGTCACCTTTATTTTTGTCCCAGGGCATGATGATGTTGTTGATGAAAGAGCTGATAAACAATGCGCTTAGAGAGATATGACGTTCTGAGGATTTTGGAAGTGTCCACATCACTGCTAAGAATACGAGAATTGGGAGGAGAAAGATCGGCACAGCCAAGTATGAAAAGCGCACCGGACGCACACGAAGTCTTGTCAACCAGCATAAGAATGGCACTATTAACCGCTCGACGCTGGTGAATATGTTGAGAGTGGAATCTGAGTACATACGGATGTGTCCGGCGTGCTGTGAAGATAATCCAACTCATAACTCAGACATTTATAAGGAAATGCTTCCTGTTTATGCTGACATATGTTTATTTCTAAAGCGGTGCATGCCTGGGTTAAACAAAAAACAAACATACCTTGGCGGTTGACATTTCGTGAATAAAGCAGAAGTTGAGTGTGAAGTGAAAATGTGGTTTAGAAAACAAAGCACGCAGGTCTATACAGCAGGGGCGCCGACACACAGAAAAATAGGCCTCTCTCCTGCGGTGGGGGTGTCATCTTCCTTACAAATTGCCTGGGGGAGGCTTCCAAGGCCTTCAAGTGCAATAACAACGATGTGTTCTTCTGTGTCTCACTCACATTGACCTCACTGAGTGCTAGTTGTTGGCGTGGGTTTCTGGATGTTGTGCGAACGCTTGTCTGTTCGCTAGTTTTCTAAAGGGATTTAGTGAATGGCAATCTGTGCGACTTTCACTGGCACCGGAAGTGAGAAGTTATTGGCTAGCCCGTCTGCGGGAAAGTTGGAATTTTGACTACTGACTGACTACTATCACTTTTTAAGTTGAACAGACAGGCTCGCTGCCACGAAAAGGGGTGGGGGGGGGGGGGGGGGGGGGTTACTCCGCTCCGCTTTATACATTCTTTATTTACAATCTGTTGCGTGGAAGGGTGCTTGACGCAAAAATAATTAATGAAAAATTGACGGGGGGGGGGGGGGGGGGGGGGGGGGGAACAGCCTCATCACCCAGGCAAAAGTTGGGTAGGGGTCAGATCAACTCAGGCTCCATCTCTTATTAGGAAACATAAAGGACCACCAAATGACATCTTCCTCACCATCTTACATACTGTCTAGCCAAGTAATTGTGTGAGTATGTGTTGGGAAAGGGGGAGGGGCGGGGGTCTCAAGTCCTTGAGTGGTCCTGCCATCAAATAGTTTTATGGGGGGGGGGGGGGGGGGGGGGGGGGGGGGGGGGGTCAACAAAGAGGCTACTTATTAGGGGGAGGGCCTCAAGGGATCTAAGCCCCCAGGTTCTCGCTCTTATGGTCTGTGCTGCCCAGGGAAATACGGAAAACGATAAATATAAATAAAAGAAAAGTAGAAACATAAATAGCTTAAACATGTAAAATATATCATATGGAATTGACAAGCATAGGGCTACAGAATTAGACTACCACGTGTCTTTGCCAAGCGATGTGCTCGTTTAGATCTCTGCAAAAATTTCAGTCCTGAATATTGACAGACATCAATGCCATCGTCTCGGACCAGGCCTGTTCAGCTGAGTTTACTCAGGGGCCAAACATCCAGAAAATAAGGATTGTTACTCGTCAAAGGCTTGAGACCCAGCATAGAAAGATCATCAATACAAAACAACTGGCACTGATCCGCGGGCCACTTTGTAGGTCTCCGAGGGCCAGATTTGGCCCTCACACCACCAGTTCAATAGTCCTGTCTTAAACATTTAGTGGAACAGACACAGAAAATGTTGGGATCCGTGAGGATGGGGGGTCACCCAGCCATCTTATAAATTTTTTGGGGTATTCTTGGATCTTTTTAAAGTGCATGATAATAAAGCACCAGTTAGGTTCAAAAAGTCAATAACAATAATAATGATACAGTCACTTCAACCACTGGTATTGGAACTCTGCACTGGCTGCAGAAGGTGGGGACGGTGCACACATGGGAATTCCCTGAGTGCTGTGATGTCAGTTCTTGACTTTACTCATTTTAATGCTTGTAATTTAAAATAAGCGCATATGATTTGTAAATGTGAACCGTGTTGATCATAATTTATTTGTGTGTGTATTTATTTGTGTTTCATTTGTGCATGTTTGCACTAAAAAAATTTTTTTTTTAATGTTAGAATAAATGGTGTTACCGGTATTTATTTATTGGTTGTTTCTTTTTGCAGATAAATCAGAATGTCTGTGATCATCCGGCTGCAGGGCTTGCCCTGGTCAGCAAGCGCCATGAACATCCGCCATTTCTTCGCTGGCCTCAACATCCCAGCTGGAGGGGTCCACATTATTGGGGGTGAGGGTGGCGATGCCTTTATTGCCTTTAGTTCAGACGACGATGCAAGGATGGCCATGAAAAAGAACTCATGTCCTCTGAATGGAACCCCAGTTCAGCTATTTCTGAGCAGCAAGGCAGAAATGCAGAGTGTTATTGATGCTGCTCGGGCTGGGAGCTCTTCAACTACTGCGGCTCCGACAACCCCGGCAAGTGTTACACCACAAAGCTTGCCCCCGACACCTGCACAGCAGCAGCCGCGACAGCCGTTTTCGAACACATCTACGTTTCCTGTGGATAACCAGAATCCGAGCAACGGGGTCTTTGCCGGCCAACAGATGAATGACTTTGGTCAGCAGATGCAACAAGGCCAGTATAGCCGAGGGGACTGGCAGGGCTTCCAGTCATACGGGGCTCGAATGGATGAGCAGGGTCAGCCAATGCCAAACCAGTTTATGTATAATCAGAGGGGGCCCGGTAATCAAGCAGACGGAAGGTTTCCTTCTGGTCAGGGGGGACAAGGAGGCCTTGATAGAGCTCCTTTTGGTAACTTACAGCAAGGAGGTCAGTTCCATGACACCAGCGGTATGGTGCCACAGACTGGCTCTGCTTCAATGGGCATGGGAGGCATGTACCCAGGCGCGGATGTGTCCGTTGTGGACCCTTTGACCCAGAAACAGACTGCTTTTGGAGATCAGATCGGGGGTAGACCAGAGAATATTCCAGCGGCTTCTTTTGATAATACAAGTCTTCTGGGGAACATGGGCAGAGGTCAAGGTTCGTTTCCAGGTCAGCTTGGCATTGGTCCAAACAGAAATGCGTTTAATGCTGGTATGGGCAAGCCCACACCTGGCATGGATGTACCCGGGGGTCTTCTTGGAAGGATGCCACTTGGTGATGAACCTTTAGGAAGAACTAATTTAATGGATGATAAGTCTTTTGCTGATCCGATGGACTCCATGGGACAGAGTGATAAATTCATAAACCCGCTCAAAGGTGAATCGGGTCTGGCAGGTCCAGATGGAAGAAAGGCGGACATGATGGGTTGGGGAGATGGTCAGTCCGAGGTCAGGTTTCAAGCTGGCCATCAGAAGATGTTTGAGCCAGGAATTCACGGTGAGAAGCCTATGATTAACAGAGATAACTTGCTAGATCCTGACGGAAGACCTTTCCAGCAGTTCCCTTTCAGGGGTGATCCTGACAGAGGAAGAATGAACAGAGGTCTGGAGGGGCCTGAGAGAGCAGATCCGCTGATTGATCCGAGTACAAATCGTTTAATGGACAGACAGGATAGAGCACCTTCTTTCCCAGGAAGGGATGTTAGAACGGGCAGCAGGTTTTCTGCCGCTGCAGAGCCAGAAGGAAGATTTCCTGCAGACAGACTGCCTGACAGATTCAGCAGTGAGAGAATACAGCCTGATGATATGCCAAGCACAAAATATCCCCCAGACAATGAACCCCAGACTGGAGCAGGAGATATCAGAGGACATGGGCAGTTCCCCCCTGTAAGAGGCAGGTTTGATGACGTGAGGTATCCAGTTGATGACAGGTCATTTCCCCCAGAAGAAAGGTTCCCAGGTGACGACCGCAGGTTGCCGATTCGGGAACCGGGATTTGCCGCAGAAGGTGATCGCTTTCCTGAAGGAGATAGGAAGTTTCCCCCAGGTAGAGGTTTCTTGCCTGATGAAAGACGGCATATGATGGATGAGAGAAGGTTCCCTCCAGGACCCGGTGCTCGCAGGTTTCCTGCAGAAGAAGGCAGATTTCCACCTGACGAAAGAATTGGTATGAATCCAGACAGGATGCGGCCTGATGAATTTCCAGGAAGACGACCTGCAGATAATTCCTTTGCTCCTGATGATAGCCAGTTTAGAGATAGGGAGGAAGAGCCGAGATCTCGGGATCCTTATGGGAGAGGCCGTCGTGGAATGGATGATAGATTTCCACATGGCGGCAGGCCAGACCATCGTCCCGGGTTCCGAGACTTTGAAGAAGGCGAGGAGCCCAGACGCTTCCCCCCAGGTCCCAGGTTTCCTCCAGAACGGCCATTTAGAGGTGAGGAGGGGAAAGAAGACTTCAGAGCTCCTCCTGCAGCATTGGGTGAACGACGTGCACGTGTGTCCCGCTGGGATCGTGAGCAGCAGCTTGACGACTGGCAGGAAGAAGGTGATGCCTACCCCCGACCCGTGGGGCCGCGGCCACCTATAGCTGAGAAAGCTGACTTTGCTGGCGTGCCTCCTGAAGATGCTGGCTTGGATGAACCTATGGATATGGATCAAAGAGGTGGGCGAGATCATATCCCTGGAAGAGGAGGGCCGTTAGAAGGAAGAAGACCTCCCTTGCTTGAAGGTAGAGGAGGAGCCAGGCCTCATTTTGATGTTGATGGAAGAAGGGGACCTGGGATGGAAGGATTTAGAGCACCTCTTATGGAAGGAAGGGGCCATCCAGGGGAGGGCATGCGAGGCCGTGGAATTGAGGGAATGAGAGGTAGAGGGATGGATGGAATGAGAGGTCGAGGGTTTGATGGAAGAGGTGGGCCTGGTGTTGAAGGCAGAAGGGGACCAGGAATCCCCAGTTTAATGGAAGAAAATAGCTTTGACTACGGACATGGATCACTTGCTCGTGGAAGACCAGGTCCTGGAGACGTAGAGGAAGACGAGGAATTCGATGAACCTCTTGATTATGACAATCGTTTTCCAGGACCTGCTGCCAGGGGTGGCATGTTTGAACGTCCACCTCGTGGCAGAGGTGAGCCTTTCTTCAACAGGGGCCGGCCTGGTCCACCATTTGGACGAGGTCGAGGTCTGGATATGGATAGGCGATTTGAAGATTCTGGTCCAGACGGCAGAATGAGCATGGATGTGGATGCCAGAAATGTGGGAGGTCGCCCTGATGGCCCACCACTGAGACCAGGGTTTGGAGATAAAATTCCAGATTTTTCTGTGAAGCCAGGAAGTGGGAAAGGCCTTCTGGGAGATGCTCCTGTCATAGAAAGGCCAGTAATTGCAAAACCAGAACCGGAGAAAAAGGAGGTTGCAGCAGATGCATTTAAAAGAGATCTAGACAACCGATCAGCAAGAAGAAGTGACGACAGAGACAGAGATAACCGGTCTTCTGACAGGCGGGGCAGGGACAGGGAGGATAGGCGGTCTGGAGAAAGAGAGAGATCAAGATACAAGTATGAGAGGGATCGCAGTGACAGAAGGAGGTCGCGATCTCGTGAGAGAGGGGGTCGAGACAATGATGGGCGTAGAAGCCGAGAACGTTCCTCATCAAACAAGCAAGATAGCGAAGTGTCCAAGTCTGATGGACAGACAAAGAATGAGCCCAAGAAGCGATGCATCCACTTGAGAAACTTACCAATAACCGCAGCCTACAAGGATATTAAAAAGTTCCTGCAGCCCCTGGATGTGCCCTTTGATGGGTTAAAAATGATAAATGACAAACAGGGCAAGCCCGCAGGGGAGGCTTTTCTGCAGTTCCGCCATCATGAAGATGCCTCAAGGGCCTTTCGAAGGCATGGAGAAAGGTTGTATGGCAAAATCGTTTCAATATCCTTGTGCACGGACGAAGAGTTCTCTGCAGCAGGAGATTCTTCACCAGCAAACAAGAAAGATACCACAGCACCTGCTGCTGCAGAGGGTCAGAAATCAGAAAAGGTCGAGAAACTGCGATACATTACACAGCTAAAAAATCTGCCTTTGAATATCACAAAACAGGACATTGTTCAGTTTTTTAGGGGACTGACCGTTGAGAACAATAATGAGGCAGTTTATATTGAATATGACCAGACTGGTGTCGCCACTGGCAATGGAATTGTGGAGTTTAAAACTGACTTTGATTACAAGAAAGCCCTGACAAAGGACGGCTCTTTACTGGGCACAGTAGCTGTCAGAGTGTTTCCTGGCAAGGCTGAGGAGGCTGATGCTTTGAAACAGAAGCAGCTTGAAATGCTTCAGCGAGCAGCTTTGCGTAATGCAACAGGCCCGAGAATGATGCAGCCAGGACTCCCAGGACAGCCCCCTAGGGCTCAAGGTCCGCCACCACGACTACAGGGTCAGCCACCACGACCTCAGGGTCCGCCGCAACGACTTGCTGGACCTCCTGGTCAAATGCCCCGACCCCAGGGTCAACAACCAAGACCCCCAGGTCAGCCTCGGCCTCCATTAATGGGACCCAGACCAGGGATGGGGCCTCAGCAGCCGCCTGCAGCCACTTCTCCCGGGCAGGGGAATCAGAACAGGGCCACAACTCCGTCAGATAGCTCAGAGACTGTATGTGTCCACATCCAGGGCCTGCCACTCTTGGCGACACCCCAAGATATTCGTGAGTTTTTCTCAGATTGTCAGATTGCTATGAGAGGCATCAACATCGCCCACGACAGCAGAGGCAAACCCTTGGGCGAGGGTTTTGTAGAGTTCAAGTTCAAGTCTGACTTTGAGAAGGCTATCAAGAAAGACAAGACGTCACTGGGGCGTCACATTGTTGCTGTGAAGCCGATAGGAAAGAAGGAAATGGTGGAAAGACTAGACAACGCCAGAGGGGTACCAGTGCAGCAGTCTGGACAGGGCCAAACTCCGGATGACCAGCACAAACCCCAGAACCAGAACCCTGCCCAGTCTGGCGAGAAGCAGCAAGCACCTCAGACTCCGCAGCAAGGACCGCCGGCTGGCCAAAATTCTCAAGGACAGAAGCCAAACACACCTGGATCAGGGCCAAGTCCTTCAGCACCAGCCCAAGGAGCTCCTGTTGCCCCTGGAGGCAGCAAATCCATCCCTCCCGGTGTCCTTAACAAAAGCTGGTACTATGTGCGTTGCCAGAATTTCCCACCAGACATTACCATTGCAGAGATTCTAACCTTTTTCCAGGGCTTGAGGCCGATTGGAGAGTCCATCCGGCTTCATTATTCAAGTGATGGCAAACCAACAGGCAATGCAGTCGTTGGATTTGGATCATCTGACGAGGCACAGAAAGCACTCCGACAGCTAAACATGAAAGTGTGTCGCCAGAACATTGTGACACTTCATCCTGCATGATCAGACAGGTACTTGTCTGCATTTTATTAACCCTTTCGCTCTGTAGAAATCTTAAAATGTAACCTTTTCCCACAGTTGTATTAAAAAAGAAACACATCTTATTAATTATCTAACAACTCTACTCTAAAATAATTAGAGGAAAACAAGAAATTTTGAGTTCAGGCAGTTCTTATAAACACCGAAAAGCTTGAACCCCCACCAAGCAGTCAGGTACTTCTGCGTCTTGCTAGTTTTACTATCAAGTTTAGGGTGGTCACCAAGTCTTCAAAGCGGGAAGTTATTTTGAGCATCATGTCTCTTTGTCTTCATCTTCGCAGTTACTAGCTGTAAACTGCAGCCGAAAGTTCTGGTTGTTTGTTCATCTCTAGACTTTAGTCTTGTTTCAGAACCTGAGTGTGTGCGTGCACATCTAGTTTACAAATCTGACTTTGAAGGAAGCCCCTAATTAGTTGACTCTTAGGACATGCTTGTTGGGGAGGCAGTGGGTCTGTTCTTGTTTTCCCTACAGAGGGGCCCCGGAACCCATATAGGAAATCTTGTCCCTGATTGATGTTTTGATGTTCCATGTCAACATTTGTCATTGTTCTGTTACCTGAGTTAGTGTTAGATGAGTTGCCATCTTCACATCTGGGGTTGGCAGAAATGGATCAGCAGTATCTTCTGCCCGGTATCAAAACTATCATCCTTATCTCCCCCTACCCCCCCCCCCCCCCCCCCCCCCCCCCCCAAAAAAAAAATTGCAGCGGAAATATTGGGCGGCCTTCACAATGGAGGTTGGCTGTTACGTATCCGCTGTTTAGTACTTGGGATTTCTTCTGTCCGACTGTTTGTGTCGGTATTTCTCGCAGCTGCCTTATGTATTAAATGTTCGTGTGTGTGCTGTTGACTTTGCTGAGACTGTAGACTGTGCCAGGTTTTTTTTGTTGGTATGAGAACGTAGCACTTAAGGATTGACCCAGTTTGAACTGGGATAGCCTGATTACCTACCCTCCTAAACATCGATGTCGAACATAGACTGCCAATAGCTACTTAGACACAGGCATTAGATCATCCTCATCACTTGTATAAACACACAGGGTGTCCCACAAATGTCCATACACAGGAAAAATAAACATGTCACCAAGGTCATTACAAGCATAACTCCGACTGTGCTTACACATGTTCTGAAATGTGTGTCTTTGTCTCCAGATTGGGCATGCTGAATGCCGGTGACTGTGTGGCCAGATTGGGCATGCTGAATGCCGGTGACTGTGTGGCCAGAAGCAAGATATTGTTGAACAGATGAAACGTGGACAACTACTTTTTTGATTTCTAATGGAGCTGTTACAATGCCTCTTCCGTGTTCATTGTAATGTTTCTCTTAGACTTGCTGGTTTGTCTCAGCCAGCTGAAGTCATTTGTTTGTTAATGATGAATTGTTTGTTTTACTTTAGTATTCTTTTCTTATGGTATTTTTTTAAAAGGATTATTATTTTAAATAAAGTTGGACCAGCACGTCCGTGCTGACTGACACAAGTGTAAATATCAAATCTGCTGTTGGTTGTTGTTTTCTTTAACGTTTCTCCTCAGCGTATAGCGGAACCTCAGGATATTAATTAGTTCAATGACTGAGTGAATAACTCGTATCCTTAAACTTTTTTTTTTCCCATAAAAATTATTGTAAATAATTGTTTCCAGCCCTTTTCAAAAATCGAGAAAAAGAATTACCTTTTTATGTTTCATTGACCTAAGAAATGTGTGGCATTGTTTTTGTTTTTGCCCGCAGCGGAAATGGGGTTACATCTGACCATGATGCTGCAGTCGATCATCACCAAGTGCCATGTTGACTGACTCAGGTCTTTCTTCAGCAAAGCTAATGTGACCTAATCCATTTAAAAGTTGTCGAGATGCTGTCAGATAATGCCAAGAGTTCTCATCTTTACAGCTGAAATCCTGGATTTCACCTTGTATTCTGGGGACACCTCTCCTCCTCCTCCTCCTCCCCCACATACACTTGTATCCTGAGGGTAAACTATAAATAATCTCAGTCATACTGATACTTCATAAATGAAAAATTAGTTTCCTTTTAGTATAAAAGGGGGAGATTTGGTCGTATAGAAGAATGTTTAGAATTCCTTAGACAGCTAAAAAGAGCAACCCAGATGTTTTGAATGAGATAAGGGCTCGATGACAACTTATCACAAACTTCAGAAAGAGACAATCATCATTTTCTGAGGTCATGTTATGAGAAGATTCTTGACAGTCTTTTGTCATGGCATGGAGGTGTGTTAACACACAAACTGATACACGTAGTAGCAGATCGCAGATTGTGGAGAGGCATGATCACCTATGCCAGTCATCAAGGCACTAGATGATGATAATGATTTTACAAAAAAGGGGTGGGGGGGGGGGGGGGGGGGGGGCGGGAAATTAAATCATTCAGCATGTGAAACAAACACCATGACAGTTGGTAATACTGTTGCTGTGATTACTCAATGTCTTGCAGGTTGTAGGGGATGCTGCCATTTCATCATAATGACAGTTGGTAGTGCTGTTGTTGTGATTACTCAATGTCTGGCAGGTTGTAAGGGATGCTGCCATTTCATCATAATGACAGTTGGTAGTGCTGTTGTTGTGATTACTCAATGTCTGGCAGGTTGTAAGGGATGCTGCCATTTCATCATAATGACAGTTGGTAGTGCTGTTGCTGTGATTACTCAGTGTCTGTCAGGTTGTAAGGGATGCTGCCATTTCATCATAATGACAGTTGGTAGTGCTGTTGTTGTGATTACTCAATGTCTGGCAGGTTGTAAGGGATGCTGCCATTTCATCATAATGACAGTTGGTAGTGCTGTTGCTGTGATTACTCAATGTCTGTCAGGTTGTAAGGGATGCTGCCATTTCATCATAATGACAGTTGGTAGTGCTGTTGTTGTGATCACTCAATGTCTTGCAGGTTGTAGGGGATGCTGCCATTTCATCATAATGACAGTTGGTAGTGCTGTTGTTGTGATTACTCAGTGTCTTGCAGGTTGTAGGGGATGCTGCCATTTCATCATAATGACAGTTGGTAGTGCTGTTGTTGTGATTACTCAGTGTCTGGCAGGTTGTAAGGGATGTTGCCATTTCATCATAATGACAGTTGGTAGTGCTGTTGTTGTGATTACTCAATGTCTTGCAGGTTGTAGGGGATGCTGCCATTTCATCATAATGACAGCTGGTAGTGCTGTTGCTGTGATTACTCAGTGTCTGGCAGGTTGTAAGGGATGCTGCCATTTCATCATAATGACAGTTGGTAGTGCTGTTGTTGTGATTACTCAGTGTCTGGCAGGTTGTAGGGGATGCTGCCATTTCATCATAATGACAGTTGGTAGTGCTGTTGCTGTGATTATTCAGTGTCTGGCAGGTTGTAAGGGATGCTGACATGAACAGTAATGAAATCTTAGAATTATAGAGTAGACCTTCTTTGTGTTTACTGACAGTAAAATCTAAGAGAAGAAAGTTCTGCTTGTTCATCTTCGACTTCTGGACATAGGTATTGTTTAAGAACCTGAGTTTTGCGTGCATATTAATCTTACACATCTGGCTTGTTTTAATGCAGACTGTTGGTTCCCTGCCTCTCAGGCAGATGCATGCCCACTTTAAAGGAGATTCCTAATTAGTTTACCTTTGCAACATACTTGTTAGGGAAGTAGTGGGTCTGTTCCCCCTTGAATCACCACAACGGGGTCCCAGAACCCACACAGGGAAGACACTGTCCTGAAATCTGAGAATCATGGTGTGGGTCGGGGCTACTCCACTGAGTTTACCCAAAAGCCAAAGTTTAAAAAAATATTTCAATCATCAGAGGCTTGAGCTCCAGCTTAGACAATTTTTTAATGCAATAAAATAGGCAATGACCCGCAGGCCACTCGCTAGGCCTCCACGGACCAGACCTGACCCACAGGCTGCCAGTTGAATCAGTAATCGGTAGTCGTTTAAAAAAAGAATTATTGCCTAATTACAACCAGCTCCTAGGATGAGTGGTGGTTTTATTGCGGCTTCGTTTCTCTGTCTTGATTTCTAGTTTTTCTATCATTTTATGTTGGTTGGATTGGTTTCCAGTTATTCCTTGGGGTGTGTCATCACGCTTGAATTTCTTGTGTGTCTGCTACACACATGCCACTAGTGTCTGTGCTGTATGAGGTTCCATTGGGCACATAATGTTTACAGATTTGAAAAATGGCTGTCCTATATGACATGCACCAAAGAGGAGCAGCTCTGTGTTATCAGTTGCTTGAGTGGCCAAAACCTTTAATACTTCACCACTGAATGAATGCCCAAATGTGGTGATGCATGACTGACTTCAACATTTGAGTTGTTTAGAAGGGGGAAAAAAAACAGTAAGAAAAGAAGAAATTAATCCTTCAGATCCGCAGTCTGTGAGATCACTATCTGAGTGATGAGAATCCAACAGCTACACGTCTGGGAACGCCTGTGCAGCTGTATATTAGCCAGGTATATTGGTGTACACTACCAAGCAGGCACTACACATGAAAAGATGTGAAGTGAAAGCTAAAGGCCGCCCTAGGAGAAGATGGATTGTTGTCATTAAAGATTTTCTACACGGATAGAGAATGACAGTAGCCATTGCTGCCCACCAAGCAATGGATCGCAGACTGTTCCTCCCCCCACCCCACAACACTTAACGGCAGATGTGGAAATTGATGATTGGTGTGCGACAGAACAGTTATCGAAGTAACCTGTAGTCTAGCGTGGGTGGGTTTGTTGCATAATTTCAGTATATGCACAAGAGCAGTAGGGACTTTATCAAAGTCAGTGTTAGCTTTATGAAAGTAATCACTGCCGCCTTGATTCAGTTCTTTGGCAAATTAATTTGGCAACCATCCTGTAGAGACTGAGGAGTTGGAGCACATCCAGGATGATGTGTTGTGAACCTTATGTACTGTCAACATGCATGGCTTGTATCATCGTCCACATTACTGCACATGAGGCATTCCCATATATGCTGTCCACAGATG